GGGGGGGGGAGTGAGGGGAAAAGCACCCAAACGAGTGCCCCTGCCTCAGCTCTGTGCAAAGCACTAACTTTTCCGTCCTGAGCATTAATAAACGTATCGTCTCCATGCAGTTCGGATTCTCCTGAAGGATGTGAGCCCTTATTATTTGTGTACATGTGACTGCAGGGTGCTGGGGTCCTTTCTTTTTTCTTTCTTTTTTTTTTTTTTTTTTTAAACCGTTAACATTTTTCTTGCCACTCGTTGGAGGCAAGAAACTCCAATCATAATAAACACTGTAATATAGTAAAAACCTTTTTTTTTTTCTTTATTTAAGCAGCACTTGCTCCTTGCATTTATTATGGGTTATAACACGCAGGATGAAAACGTGCGAGATCACTCGCTGAAGATCAGGTATTTCCAAATTATCTTATAGTGAGGCATAATATTTGTTGGTCCTTGATGTAAAAAAAGAAGGGAAAAAAAAAAAAAAAAAAAGGAAGAGGAATGTGACTGCTAAGAAGTTAATTAGCATGGCAGGACGGAGAATCAAGGACTCCCAGACTTCACAAGTGAAAAGTTGTGGTGGTGGAGGAAACATCACGCTGGGGGAAATCAAAGTGAAAGCGGGTCGGTCCCGGCAGACGCGGGGGGGGATCCGGGGGTCAGACCGGGTCCCCCCCGGAGCCCCCGAGGCTGCGGGGGGCAGCAGAGTCACCCCCCGGCCCGGCCCGGGGCTGCTGCGCTCCGGGCTTGGAGACAGCGTGTTTGTGAAGTGACCAGCCAGAGCTCTGCCTGCACGGCAATAAAATGGGGAGCAGAATAATGCAGATGCAAGAAATGGCATCTGTTACCCGAATATAATGTGGTGAGGGGAAGGGGAAAACAAATTGATCTTCCAGCAGTGACAAATTGTAACAATGGAGGAGTCAATTGGAAACTTTAACATGGGCAAGGAACAAAAGGAGGGGAGCGGGGTGGGGGGGAAGACAGTAATTTCAATGGGAATTAGTAAATTGCCTAATGGAAGTGGTGTTAGAAAGCAAGGGACAGGCTGTACTAAATAATCTAAACATTCCTCCAGAAATCTAACCTGCTGCTCCTACCAAGGGCCATTCAGCACATAGGGTTTCCAAAACAAAGCCAATTTGTCACGCAGTATTTAGAGAGTTTGGAGGCTTCAGCTAAACTGTCTTCTATAAAAAGAATAACAAAAATAATAATACAGAGATCGACAAGGCTAACATGAATTCTCAGGCATTAAAAAGTTCACATATTAATTTGCATACTAAAGGAAAGATGCAGACAAAATAGAAATAAAAAATCACTGCAACTTACAACTTTAATATTAATCAGTAAAGCAGAAGTAGAGTGAAAGGAAGCATGAAAAGAAGTAAAACAAATGTGTACATTTAATCAGACAGGATTGCATAGGACACAAAGAACAGGGCTAATTAGTCTCAGCAGGTAGGGACTAACCTTCAGACTTCATAAATAAATAAGTCTGTGAACAATGTCTAAGTGGGAATATGGAGACAGAAAAGGGATTATTTCAAGACACCAAGTAAAAACATTAAGAATTAAATACTTCACTGTTAACTCCATGTACAAATGAATTTAACAGTTTCTTTTTCCACTGGTCTTTTGACTAACTTGCTTTTTCCTTTCAGAGATTTAACTAAATAACTGTCTGTGGGCACCCACACTCCCCATTTGCCCCTGATTTTGAACTTACTGTCTTTGCTAACTAGTGCCTTGCAGAGTGACACCTTGACAAATACTCTCCATTTTTGTTTGACTTCTGATTTTTAAAATGCCTTTATATCCAATAATAATATGAGATTAGAAATACAAATATGACAGGCTTCTATTTACTTTGCAGGGCCATGTGTTATAATTTGATCCAAATGAAAAAAATCAGTTGGGTAGTTTTGTTTATCTAAGATCTTTTTACAATCTGCTGTGGGTTTGTTTGTTGGGTTGTTTGGGTTTTTTTACACAAGTATACTTCTACTTCAGTTCCAATATAGTTGCTAACTCCTTATTAAGCACTAGCAAAAGTTGGTGTTCAAGACAGGCCCAGTCCTTGCCCAAAGCTGTTTGCAGAAGGGCCAGATCAGTAGAGCCTCACACATGAGTGACATTACTGACAGACTATTCATGAGGGTGGTGATACAGGTGGACTACTTCACGCAAGTAGTGTTACTCACATGAGTAAATGTGGCTACAAGGGAGCTCAGTGTTGGTCATCCCAACGCCACATGGTGGTCCTAGTGCAGAAGTCGCCTCTGTTGGCTTCAGGCTGAGGGGCTGTGCCCCAGCTGTGGAAGGCGTTGCCCATGCTTGTTTGCACAGCTGGAGTTTTGCCACCACAGTGGAGTCAGAGGAGCTCCACAAAGGGCTGGAAAACTGCTTTCCAGCTTTCATGGCAACATCAGGCTCTTCCTATTGCAAACTTTGGGGGTTTTGTTTTCAAACTAAAGCTTACAGCTAGTTTGGTTTTGAAGTCCAAGAACTGTTGATGATTACTAAACTGACATGGTTTCATTAAGGTAGTAGAAGTCACTTGGGATAGCTTATGCATTTTATTTGTATCATGTTCCTTTACATAGTTCTTGTTACAGGCTCAGGGCAGGTAGAGCTCACCAGGGGTCAATAGCACCTGTTGAATAGTAGATTCTCAGGTGGTATCTTAGATTTAAAAAAAAGTATTGTGTTTAACAACAAAAGAAACACAATATTTTTCAAAAACCCCTCAAGTTAATCCACTGCATGAAACATGATTTACTGTTAGGATACCCAATTTTAAGTAACAGCTGGCAAGACAAAGCCAGGTGCTCCAAGTTCAGACTTCAAGAGACTTACTTGGGCTTTCTTGTCAAAGCTGACCTCTAGCACAGATGAAGTGGAATTGCCTCTCTCCAAGTTTTTGTAACTCTCACAACTTGGTACAATGTATCAAATGCTGAGCAATGTGGTTTGTTTAGGAGCAGCAGTGTCACCATTTTACGCTTTTACACAACATTTTTGGTCCTCAGAATCCTGCAAATTTTCATTAACAGCAGCGGCAAAAAAGCATGTGAGGTTGGCCTGCCCGTTCACATTGCAATGAACTGGAGAGGGAAGAGCTTGACCAGGGGCAGCCAAGGAAATTTATTGTTTTATGAAAAATGCTTTGGAATCTTTAATGTCTCATCAGAGGGCCAAGTCTATATTGGAGAAATATAGTCTGATAACTGCCAGCTGGATCTCCTGGCTAATGTTTACATATCTGGGGTGAGTCATCTGTTTTCATGGTCTTCTCCAAAAGCTCCCAATGTAGGTTGCAACATGTAAAATACAAGTTATTCATTTTGGAAAGATAAAAGGACTTTGGTTGACCAGGCTGGGATTTGAGTCTACAGCTCAGAGGAGTCTGTACACTTACAAATAATCTTGGATCATTAAATCTGCTCTGAATGTCAAAAAAAGATTCCAATATTGAAAAAGTTCCAGTAACACAAAGCAAACACATTCGCCCTGTGCCTTACCAGTACTGGCTCTTCCAGTTAACAAAGAGGGGAAATTTTTCTAGGGCAGACAAGATAACAGCCATTTGCATCGACTAAAACAAGCACATGTGAAAATTCAAGAAAGATATCAAATGGGAAAATACTGACAAACAACCAGATTGTGGTGCTGCTGCTAGATTTCATAGTGGCTTTAGACTTCTCACATACTGCCCAGGTCACAGTGTGATGTTTGAGCAGTAGGTGTGGGCTTTCTAGCTGTGTGCTCAGTGGAGAAACACTGGAAAATTAGGCACCAAAAAACCTAACACATTGTTTTCAACCTCTTAACACAGCCTAATGTCTTTCAGTCTACACTCTGCTTCCCAAGTCATGGCTACTGCTCAGAAGAACACCTCCCTTTTAGCTCCTAAAGCACAGCTGTACCTCTTGCTTTTGTCAGAGATATTTCTGTCTAATAATAAAATGGTTAATAGGTAGAAATATGCATTCACACAGGGATTATTCACACTTTATCAGGAGGTGATATCAACCACTATAGGAGTGAATGACAAGAAATAGGCTTCTGAAATACAGAGCCCTCCATAAATATACCCTTTTTATTGACAACTTGTCTTTTAACTCTAATAGTAATGGAAGAAATCC